CAAGTTACAAGAGTGCTGAAGCCAGCAACTTCATATAAGTCGTGTTTTATTTCATTCAACTCGTCCCAAATGCATGGGAATCAGATGCATCTGCCCATCCTGCATGACAGAGTTTAAAACTTGGGACAGCACATCCGAAAACCTGCTCTGGGAGAGGCCAGCACCAGTTGCCACAGTGCGCTGAAGTGACTCAGACACAAGGAAATGTAGAGTTGACAGGAGTTTTGTCATCGGTGGCATGACATTACTCCTTCCTGTGACTGGCTCTGTCAGCTCTTAGATCATCATCCATCATCTTACCCACTAATTCCTTTTAGGGTCATGGGGGTCACTGGTTCCCATATCTATCTGTCACTGTGTGAGAGGTGGGGGACACCCTGGAAAGGTCTCCAGTCCATCACAGGGACACATAGAGACAAACAAGACAAACAATCATTCACTTTTTCACTCTCTGTGTGAGGAAACTGGAGTACCTGGAGAAAACCCACGCATGCACGGAGAGAACATACAAACTCCACACAGAAAGGTACTCGATCTGGCAACCTTCTCGCTAAGCGGTGGCCGCTCTACCAACTGAACCACTGTGCCACCACAAGTCAACAAACATATAACATTGGATCATTTTCCTCATTAAATAAATGACCAAGAATAATGTTTTTGTCTCATTTGTTTAAATGGGTTCTCTTTATCTACTTTTAGGACGTGTGTGAACACCTGATGATGTTTTAGCTCATACTGATGCAGAAACGTAGAGAGATAGCAGCAGTGCACGTGGCACCAACATTAAAACCCACTCTTGTTTCTCTCTCTTTGTTTTCCCTCTAGAGAAAAAAGACACCGTTCTTCGACAGGTTCGTCTGGACCCCTGTGACTTGCAACCTATTTTTGACGACATGCTGCACATCTTGAACCCAGAGGAGCTCCACGTCCTCGAGGAGATCCCAGCAGCTGAAGACAAGCTGGATCGACTGTTTGAGATCGTTGGAGTCAAAAGCCAGGAGTCCAGTCAGACGCTGCTAGACTCCGTCTACTGCCACCTACCTGACCTGTTGTAGTACAGGAACAAGACCCATGTTGGGAGGGATGAGTCAGACGTAGTACTCCTGAGATTAGCCTGTACTCATATTTGATCTAACACAGTATAACTCATGCCACTTATGTATCTTTGTTCCTGCAGGGTTTTACTTTATCTGCTGCTACTGATGAGGCTTAAAATCCTATCTGCTACTTAACACTTTCTCTTGCATTGTATTTATACCTTCCAAGCATCAATACTGTCGTCAACATTACACGGTCGACTGCTCGAAGAAGTACTGCTAACCTTATGGATGAAACTGAAAGTTTGGATGAGTTGTGTTAAAACGTTGTCCTCACAAATGGCACTTTATTTATCTTCAAGGGCATATGCATTCAGTTGTAAAGGTATATTGTACCAATTATCCAGGCTTCTCTTGCAAACCGACTGGATGAAGGGGAACCCTACAGAGACGGTGGTAAATAAGCTATAACTTCAAACAATGCAGGCATCATTGTGTGATAACCGTTCTCGTGAACCACGTTCTCTTTTCTGCACGGGTAGTACTGTGGGCGGTCATGTGCCTGAATGTGTTGCTCTGCTTTTCTTTCTGCCTACATCATTCAGCTGTGGGCTAGAGGACGATTTGTTTGCTTGTAGCCACCAGCAGCTCATAGCCTTATTTAAATGACTCGGAGCTCCGAAACATGTTCCATGTATCAGAATAATCGAGGAGCGGAGTGAGGTTTAGGAGGTTTGCAAGGCTAACTGCCACAGCATCCTTCTGTAGAAGCTTAGAGCAGGGTACAGTAAATACCAGTAACGCCTGTGTGCATACTGGTACCGGTGCAGTGTTGATAAAGTGCTCTTATTATATTTTGGAGCTTCCTGTTGCTTCAGTTTGCAGATGTTGGGTGTCTTGGTTTATATTTCAGGGCAAAATTAAAAATATATTATTCAAATGAAGTTTCCAGTTATTAGTTGCTACATGTTTTATGTAGTCGATATTATGTTGATTCATTTGTTTTTTTGTTAGAAAAAGGAAGCTATGTACTCATTTAATTCATGAATATTGGACAGCACTTACTGTATATATATATATATATCCATCCATCCATCATCTTTACGCGCTTCTTCCTTTTTGGGTCGCAGGGTTCACTGGTGCTCATATCCAGCCATCACTGTGTGAGAGGTGGGGGACACCTGGACAGGTCTCCAGTCCATCACAGGGACACAGAGAAAAACAACCATTCACTCTCTCACTCACACCTAGAGACAATTTAGAGTTACCAATCAGTCTAACATGCATGTTTTTGGTCTGTGGGAGGAAACTGGAGTACCTGGAGAAAACCCACACATGCACGGAGAGAACATGCAAACTCCACATAGAAATTTCCCCGGCAGAGAGTACTTGTATATCACCATTCTATTCAACCTGGATACTCAAATACTTTCAGCACAATCTGTGTCATCATTTACCTCCACACACACTCTACTACATCTCTACAAAGGTAATCAGAGCTTTAGATCAGTCATACATTGATGGGACACACATCAAGGTTCAATGTCTTGTCCGTAAACACGTGACATTTGGTGGAATGGAACCCCAACACTCTCTTAGGAGGACGGCAGCATCACTCACCCAGTCATCCACAAAAGCACTTGTTTATTTTTTTGTGGTGTTTTCCATTTTTTGTGTGATTTTTTTTTTTTTAAATCAGCAATGTCATTGGCACCTAGAGTTTTTATTTCTCATGGGCATTTAGATGTTTCTGCATACTCACAGGATGACCTCACTAGGATAGAAGAATCTAAATACTTGGAAATCTGCCTAATGGTGTTGATTTCTTTGAGGAAAATAATGGTCACTTTCACATTTAACATTAGTAAAACCACATTTCACCTAAAAATGCACAATTAAATCAAACAACAAAAATCACTGCTTGGAGAATGTTTTCACCATGTGGACTCTTGAGGCGACGATTAAAGATTTTCACTCACTGGTTGAACTCACATGGAGGGACAACGTAACTTAAGACCGTTTCTAAATATCCAGTCTTACAGAAATGAAGTCCAGGTTATGTAGACTGCAAACATTTGAAAATGACTGTAATGAAAAGAAGAATGTGTGAAGCTGCTGTCCAGCAGTGATTTAGGCTCAGGATGTTGTTTGTGCATGAGGGTGAGAAATGAAAGGCATACACTGAGTGGATGATTTTAAAAAAGGTGATATGCATAACCAGTGAATTATTATGTAAACTGTTTAAAAATCAACAAATTAAAGCTGCATTTTTTTCTAAACTTTGCAGAGTTGTTTTATAGAAAAATCGTACACATACATATGTACATACATATATATATATATAAATGGTAAATGGACTGTACTTATACATCACCTTTCTATTGCTATTCTATGCTGAGGACCCAAATCACCACTTCTTTGATAGCAATATCTGTAAAGATATGGCGACAATGTACGTGGATGGATGCTCATTCCACCACGAGACAATCTGCAAAGCAGGTGTTGGAGGAGTACTCCTCCAGGACCAAGAACAGGTCACATTTGGCTATAAATTAGGCTCTCAGTCTTCTCAGTACGCTGAGATAGCAGCAATCCTAATAGCCCTACGGATGGCAGTGGAACGCTCCATCCAGACGCTAGTCATCTGCACTGACTAACTATGCTCGACTTAGTTTCTTGTGTCATCTCGCTCTGTGGAAACAGAACGGTTTTCTCACAAGCAACAAAAAGGTGGTCAAACACAAAGAGCTTTTCATGACATGTGAACACTTAGTGACATCACATGATCTACAGATCTTCTGGAAGAAAGTTCCAGGACACTCCAGAGTCCCAGGCGATGACAAGCACTACAATGACCTTGCAGACTCCCTAGCCAAGGAAGGAGCCGTTGACGGACCCACGTGGTCCTTTGACCCCTCCTGGCTACTCAACACTCAGTCGTCACAAGCTACAACTGAGGTAATGGCAGTCACACGTGCACAAGCTGCAGCTAAACCTGCTGATAACACAGTTTCTGTACGCCCAATGCTGACTGACCCAGACATCATCCAACTCCAGAAGTTGGATCCTGCAATTAACTCGATGGTACTGTATCTGACTGACCCAGACAAATACACTCCATCAAAAGGCGAACTGGATTCCAATCCAGACCTTAAAGTCCTCTTTCAGCTGCGCAAACAGCTAAAACTACTTAAGGGCATCCTAACTTTTGCTCATGGACGGACATCCTCACCCGTGTTCGTGGTCCCCCATGACCACAGGGGGGTGATATTAGTCCATGCACATGACCTTCCGTCCGCAGGACACAAGGGTGACAATGCCACGCTGAAAGCATTAAAACAGATTGCTTATTGGCCTGGAATGAAGAAGGATGTCAAAGACTACATAAAAGGGTGCCTGGTCTGTGGCCAGTTTCAGCCATCCAGACCACTCCATAGAGCACCACTGCATAGTAGAGGCATTGCATTTCCATGGTCGGACCTCCAGATTGACTGGGTTGGACCACTCACTAAGAGTTCTAGAGGAAATAAATATTTTCTCACGGTAACCTGCGCGTTTACCAAATGGGTAGAATGTCTACCAGCCTCTAATGACACAGCACAAACCACTGCTATGTTATTAATGAATCATGTATTCTCAAGGTTTGGACTTCCCCTCAGGGTGAACTCAGACCAAGGTACACACTTCACAGGTGAAGTAATGAAAGAACTGTGGAAGACGCTAGGTGTCAAAGCCAACTTCCATATTGGCTACCATCCACAGGCTTCAGGCCAGGTTGAGAGAGCAAACAGGACTGTGGTGAGTATTTTGAAGAAATACGTAGCCGCAAACCACAAGGACTGGGACGTGAAACTCCCTCTGGTCCTCATGGCTATAAGGGCCACTCCACACACATCGACTGGCATCTCTCCTTTCGAGATGATGACGGGTCGACAAATGACTCTTCCTCTACACCTGTTGTACCAACCAGGCGATGCTGCCATGGCAACAGCCTACACTACACAACAATACATGAAAGACTTGGAAAAACACCTTAAAAACACTTTTGCTTTCGCACAGAAAAACCTGGAAAAATCAGCTGAAGGACGCAAAGCGTACTACGACCAAAAGGCCTCTCACGAGGAACTCCAAGTGGGAGACAGGGTCTGGTACTACACGTTTGCCCCCACAACTGGGAGAAGAGAGTCCGGGACCGGAACTCTCGCCCGTAAACTGATGCCCAGATGGACTGGACCCCATCTGATAACAGACAAACTGTCTCCAGTTGTCTATCAGATAAAAATCAGTAAAGGCCAAAAAGAGCCAATTGTTAAATGGGTACATCGAAACCAGGTTAAACCACACAAGGTGTGCAAAGAAACCACTCAAACGGGACAGCGTGATTGAATCTGACAACCAGGGTGAGGTGAAGCAGTGAAACGATGTTTCTGGTTGCTTAGTCACTACTCTTGTCGATGTTGAAACATTGTTTAATTGGTTTTGGTATTTGTTTCTGAGGTAAGAATGAGTTTTGTATGTATTTTAGTTGGAGACTGTAAAGGACTTTAACTATGCCAACATGCACTTCACTCGTTAAACCTAATCTTTGCGGAGTCAATGTAGATTAATGCTACCTTAAGTACTATAGTCTACATTGGTCTCACAACGCTTAAGCCGAACCTACTCGAACAATTCTATTCGGGGGGGATAGCTAATTCTTTTTGATGAGTCTCGCCATAGACTCCAAAAACATTTATGGGGAAACCAAACACCCAATCTCAAGTCGTTCGTCTAAAAGGACAACAGACAATTGAACCAAACTATATTTTGCCATGTAAATCTAACTTAAACCAAGTTAGGAATGGAAAAATAGTTTGGAACACCCTTCTATAGGTATAGACCCTTATATTTACCCTTTTCAGCATGTTCCACCCCTTAACTGGTAGCTGTAGCTGTTCCCAATCATAATAGCTTACACACCAGGTGCATATAGGTTAAGGCCTTATGTAAAATCCCCTTCATAAGCCCACCTTAAACCA